TAGTTGATTTAAACACCGTGTTGCTAAATATGGGACCGCTGAGAGACCAAATGTAATGATGCTTAGTTCATATGTTCTCAATTGACCCTTGCCATCTCGATAATTTTCTGAAATTTTCGATCTTCTGGGCAGAATCAAAATTGACGGTACATCTTTTCGATGTCACCTGTCAGCACGTAAGGATGTAGACGAAATCTCAAAATCAATGATTGAATATCTTCTTGAATCGTTGGTCCTACCATAAGTGTATCATTTAGTTATAGTCCAGTGTTGGATTTCATGGAACCATCGAAAACAACGCGGACTTTTGTCGTTTTACGCACTGTGAAAACTAAACTTGGTCTTCGCAATTTAATAGCGCAAGCGACACGTGAATCGTAAATTTGTAGTGATTATGATGATAATTTAAATTAATATCGCAATACTACAAATAGAAATAAGAACAACTTTGTAACTTTAATAACATTTTATAAATTATAATAAATGATATTTTTATAACACAAATAAATAACTGTTTCTGTGAATGTTGATTATGGAATGAATAATTAATTATAAAATGGGGCCTATATATACATCTTTGTCAATAAATAAACATGGTAATAACATCTCCATAGTAATAATAAAAATAAATAAAATATCAATTTACAAATATTCTAATGTTAGATGTCGATTTACAGTTGGCGATGTCGATTTACAGTTGGCGATGTCGATTTACAGGGAAACGTCTTTTTCTCCGACATCTGCTAGCTGCTGCAAGATGAATCTGACAGTGAGATTTCACGTTGAGATTGAAGGGAAGTAAATAACTATGGTATTTACATATTTACATTGATTTACATTTAGTGCGAGGATGGAGGAAGGAAATGGAAGGATAGGATTTTGGTGATGGGTAAGGTGAGGAAAGGTTTGCGTTTCGTTTGGGAATCGCTGCTTAGACTCATCAGTGAGGCCTCTTACCTCAGACGCTTGTTATTGTAACTACTCTCTAGGCCGGCACAAGATAAATGATTGCCAAGGCTTTCTAGTCCTTTCTAAGCTCAAGAGTACTCGTGTCGGAATTATCTGTGCACTCCTATAAGTCTAGTCCTTTTAGCGACATTTTCATTACAAAATTCCATGAAAAATAATTTGATACACCGTCTAATTTTGGCTCTATATTTGGTATACTACCAAGTATGACCGTTGGCGTATCTTGAATCGCGGTGTGTACGGTCGCCAAGTTTGAATATTCACATGCGAAATATCGACGAGAAAGAAAAATTTGGGTTTTCGCAAATAAATGAATATTATAATTAATTGTGAAACCTGTTGATATTGAGAATTTTAACTATTAGTTGTTCTCAATATAATTTTTTCGAATTATTATATTATTATATTATTAGAAAAAAGAAAATCGTGTAGGAACTTAAAATTGAAATTTGTTCCGCCACGTGGTCTGGTTTTCAACTGTCGTTTCCTTTTATAATATTGCGGAAAGATTCGTTTCTTCTCTTTTACTTTTATCCTTATTGTCCCGGGCCCATAACCTGTTGTTTGCAGTGGTTTAAGGTAGAGAAGAAAATGTTTTAAACTCAGACACAATTTGAAGTATATTCGCATTAGTCGGTTTACGTACATATATACACAGCTTGCTTGCTTGCTAAGGAATAAAAAGAACGAGGAGCGTCCAGCAATGAATGAATGAATCTTTATTTCAGGCCTAGAAATAGACCTCAGTGCCTTACATTATTCTTTACATTTTGTTTTCCGTTTTAATCCCTTACATCTAGTATTGCATGCTTTAACGTAGATTAATTAGACTAATAGAGAATGATATTTACACACTGCCTCTACAATATTTCTCTTTGGTACTATACTTTGGTTTGGTACTTCACTTTATCTGTGTCTCTATATTTAGTTTTCTATTACTTTTTCTCTCTTTTTCCTTCTCAATTTTTCTGAGCCAGGCCACGGCTTCCGCATCACTTTCTTCTGCTAGGATCCTTTCTATGTTGAGACTGGTTTCTCTCAATTCCCTGCATTGTCTCGAATGTTCCTTCCTCCTCTTCACACAGCGGACATTCCCTGTCTGCTTCATTAGCCCAAAATTTGTTAGCATTTTCGGTAGAACCGCATCTTGCTCTAGCCAGTATTCTCTGCTCTCCGTTCCTTTTCCTCTCTCTTAAATATTTTGGCAAAGTTCCGGGTGTATTTATATCTTCTATTGTATTTGGTTTTCCTAATTCTGATCCAGTGTATTTGTTTCTCCACTTCTATCTCTCTGTTTCGTAGAACTTCGCCTGCCTTTTTTCCTTCTCTCCATAATAAATCTACGCCTTCCTGGCTGAAGCCGCATTTTTTAAAATGGTCCAATCTGTCTTTAAGATTTTTCTTAATTCCCTTCCCTGCTTTTCTTTCGTTCAAACACTCTTTGACAATGCTTTCCTCTATCCCTCTCAATTTTTCCTTCATACTCCATCGCTCTCTTTGCCTGCATTACTTTCATTTTTGTTCTGTTCGCTTCCTCCAATACTATATAATCAGGTGTTCCTCTGTCTAGTTCTAGCGTCCATTTTATGTACTTTTTGTGTATCCTTTCGAGTTCTCCGATCTCTCTCCATCCCCAGACTTCTACACCATACACCATCACTCCTGTGACTAGGCTGTCAAAAATTTTCATCCTCCTTATGAAGTCGTCCTTGAAAATTCTCTCCCCTATTCCCCAGGTGAGTCTCACATTCGCCTTCTTTGCGAAATATCTTATATGGCCGCTGCTTTTACCGTTGCTTTTCAGCACATAGCCTAGGTAGCCTAGGTACATAAACTCTCATTTCCTCAATCGGCTTTCCTTTCCAGCTCCACTCCGTTTTCCTTCTCTTCCTCCCTCCTTTCATAAACACCATTATCTTCGACTTTTCCTCGTTCAATTGCAGCTTCTTCTTGTCCAGATACTTTTCTAATCTTCTCATTATCTCCTTCATTTCTTTTTCCTCGTATGCTAGTAAGTACGATGTCGCCTGCATAAGCTAGTGTCCAGAACTTCTTCCTGCCCACCACCACACCACCCGCTTGCCCCTTTCTCATCTCCTCCTCCATGTTCGCAATTAGGATTGTGAATAAGGTGGGATTCAGTGGGCACCCTTGCCTTACTCCCTCTTGTGTCTAAAATTCTTCAGATGTTTCATCTTTTATTCTCACCTTACTTTTGGTTTCCGTGTAAATTTCCTGTGTCCTATCGACTAGTCCCTCCGATATGCCTGCCTTCTTCATAGCCTGTCAAATGCTGCCTTTAAGTCTATGAAGAACGCGAATAATTTTCCTCCTTTCCTTTCTATTGTCTTTTTTACTACGTGCTGAAGTATATAGATATTGTCCATTGTTCTCTTCGACTTCAGTTTCGATTCTATTGTTCAGTACCATTGCGTAAATCTTATACGCCGTGTTGAGTAGCGATATTCCTCTGTAACTTCCCGCCACGTCTCTTTCTCCCTTTTTGAACAGTGGGGAGATTATACTAGTCCTCCAGTCTTCCGGCATTTTTTCCCCTTTCCAGACGTTTTCAATTAGTTCGTATATTTTTTCTTTTGTCTCCCCTTGCATATGTATCCATGCCTCGTTTTGGATGTTATTCTCTCCCGGCGCTTTTCCTTTCTTCAACTTCTTTTTCTGTTTTTCTATCTCCTCCCTTGATATGTTCTGTACGGGTGTTTCTTCTTTGTTTTCTACTACCTTCTTTCATTTGTTTTCTCTCTTTCTGTCTGTACCGTTTAGGAGTTCCATAAAGTGTCTCCGCCACTCCTTCAGTCCGATTACTTCACTTGTTGGTGTCCTTTGTTTCCTATATCTCCATATTTCCTTCTCTGTCTTAGCTTTTCTGATCTCTTCAAGCTCGCTTTTGGCCATCTCCCTTTGCTTTCTCTCACATATTTTTCGGAACTCCCTCCTTTCCCTCAGATATTTCTCTTTCACCTCCTTTCTCTCCTTCCATTTCTTGAGTAACTTTCTGACTTCCCTCTTCTTTCTGCCACATTCTTTATCCCACCAGCTTTTGTTTTTCAACATCTCTCCCGCCTTTCTCTTTACTTTGGTCACGCCCTCCTCTATCGTTCTCTTTATTTCTTTCCATCTACCTTCCATGGAAGTTTCTTCATATACTTTTTTCCTTGTCACTTCCTCGTATCTCTTCATGCTCTCCTCATTCCATTTTACCATCCATCTTGTTTCCTTTGTTGATCTTCTTCCTCCTCTTGGAATCTTGTATTCCAGTTTGCAGTATATCGGCATATGATCCGACTCTACTCTCTCTTCCACAATAAATTCTCTTACTTTATTCAATCCTTTAGCATCTACTATTGCGTAATCTATCACCGACTGACCAGTACTACGTATGAACGTATATTCTCCCTTCTCACCTCCTTCCACGTTTTCATTTAGAATATGCCAGCCATTGTTTTCGATCCCCTCTGTACTGGTCAGTCGGTGATTACCTTCCCTTCTCTGTCGCATACTTTGTCCTATGAGCTTCTTTTCTTATGTTCACTCTCATAGATTCCTCCTTTCTCCCCAGTGCTTGCATTCAGGTCTCTTCCTAACAACATTTTTGTGTTTCTCTCTCCTTCTTGTATTATTTCTATTTGTTTTATCAATTCTGCCAGTTTCTCTTGATTATAAATCGTCCAAACAATCCATGTGTCATTCTCTATTGTTATTTTCGTTCCTATCGCTCCTTTTACATGGTACACTTCTTGACTTCCCCTAATTAGCTCTCTTCTCATCCCTACTAGTATTCCTTCGCTTGCCCTTCCTTTTCTCTTTTCTTTCTGTCCCGGTTGGTACTCCCATCTATATTCTCTAGGTAATCTGCTCCTCCAATTATTCAATTTTTTTTCTTCCATTCATGTTTCCGTTAACCCTACGTAGTCGAATCTTTCAATGTACTCCCAGAAATCTACTTCTTTCTTCTTCACGCTAGCCACGTTCCAGAATAGGACTCCGACTCCCTCTTTTTCCTCTTCTCTCCGTCAGTACTTGTCCTTCTCAATCACTTTTTCTAGAGTTTCTTTTCTTTCATTCCAAATATACCATTTTTTGTCTATTCCTATTTTCTTACATCCTACTGTAATCTTTTTTCCTTCTCTTCTCTTCTCACCTGCCAGTTTCCTTAATTTCCCTTGTATTTCTCTTTCTTTTCGTGTTAGGTCATCTATGTATATTCCTGTTTTCAAGTTTTTCTTCCTGGTCATTATTTGCTTTTTGCTCATTCGCTCTTTTAATTTCACCACTACCGTTTCCACTCCTTTGTCCTTTCTTACTTTCCATGATTCTTCAACTTCTACATCTAATTTCAAGTTTTCTTTCAGAAATTTCTTTACTTCTTGCGCTCCTGCCTCTTTCCATTTTGCCCCTTTTATCACTATGTTACTTCTTCTACTTTCTTTCTCTCTCCTCTCCTCTCTCCTCCAGCTCGTTTATTCTTCTCTCTTTCCTTTCCTTTCTCTCCTCCATCTCCTTCATTCTTCTCTCCCTCTTCTCCTTTCTCTCTTCCATTTCCTTCATTCTTCTCTCCAGCTGCATTTTTTCCATTTTCCATTCTTCCCTCTCTTTCCTATCCTCCTTTCTTCCTTTATCCCATTCTTTTCTCCATATTTTCCTTTCTTCGCTCATTTCATTTTTCAACTTCTCTATTTCTCTTAAGAATTTTTGAAACATTTTTTTCACTCCTTCCAAATCATTCGTTATTTCCTTCTTTACCGATTCCCTTTCGTCTCCGTTCTCACATGATGTCTCTCCTTTCTGTCTATCCTTAGACTGTACAAATTTCTTCATTGTCCCCTTATTCCTACTAGATGTTGCTCTTGTCGCCATATCTTTCTACCCCTTTTTTTTTAACCTCTATTTTCTCTTTTTGAATATCCTCGTCTTCTTTATATTTGGCTCCACATTCTTTTTCGACTTCTCGTTCCCAACTCTTCTCCGCTCTTTCTCGTTTGAATCACCTTACCTAGATTAGCACTACCTGCCTTACCTGTGACTGTATAATCTCTCTTTTCTCCGGACTCTTGGAAAACACGACTACACTCTTCCCCCTACTCAACTGAAGTCTCACGTGTCCAGCAAACAAAGCTACTAATAAACCACGTGATAATTACTAATTAACTAATTACTCTAAGAGATGTCGCGATTAGACCAATTACATGTTTCTACATTAACCGATTAGTTTTTTTTTTGTGTACAAAGAACCGTGTTATGTTCCTGGTTTGCTCGTATACCTACAACGTATTTTGGGTAAATGAGTTACACACACACATACACATACACATACACTTATATCTATGCTAGGAAGGTTTGAAAATATGATTGTTTCTAGTAATGTAAGATGTAATGATTTGCAGCTTTAGAGTTTTCACACTGTTAATGTCAAGGCCTCACGGAAGCCAGGACATTGATATTTCTGCTCCGAAGATTGCTAGTCTATAGTAAATTAATGGGTGTATCTCGATCAGAATCGGATGTACGCATCAGTTGGATCTAAAGATTACACCCTGATACGCATTTCACCTGAATATTAGCGTCCGGTTGTTTCATCGTCGCCTGGCGAGCCAGGACGTTAACATTCTAATACATTTTCTGTATTTTTGGTGAATTACAAAGTCTTTTTAACAAAACAAAAGGGAGAAATATAAAACAAATTATTACATTACTAATAGTAAAATTTATTTAAAAAAGAAAAAACAATTAGAAATGTAATTTTTAAAGTATAATGCGAAACAGAGTTTACATTATAATCTGTATATATATTTCGTTTCTTTTCTTCTTCTTTTTCCTTTTGCGTCTCTTTTCGAAGAGTAAATAACGCAAATTCTATGGATTGATGCAAAAGTTCCGTTTTTTGAGAAAAATTTGAACAAAAATTTTGTTTACTAAAAGTTACGTTTAATTAATATAGTATGTGCCGTTCTGTTCAATGACTCGATGTTTCTTCATCTCTCCGATAGCTGCATAATTCCGCACTCATAGAAGTTCTGAGGCTTCTTGCTAAAGAACTGATCTAAGTGATTTTTCCAGTCTTTCAAGGAAATAAAGTTTTTACTATCTAAGCTGTTTTGAACCGACCTAATTAAATAAATAGTAGGAAGGCGCAAGGTTTGAATACGGTGGATAGACCAAAATATCCCAGCCAAGTTGTAAAGGTTTGGGGTCAAAAACACATATGATCTAGTATTGTCATGCTGGAAAACAGTGCCCTTTGACAAATTCAGGCTTCTGATTGATTGCTCACTTTAATTCACTTAGTCATGAATAGTATTTTTTCGAATTAATATGATTTTTAGGTAACAATTCATAATAAACGACATAATATACACAATAAACGATAATGTTTTTATATTTTTATATTTTTTTCCTCTTCCCTTTGCTTACGAGCTTGATTTTAAGTTACTTTTCACGTCATTATAAGTCTTATCTTCTGTATCCCATTGCACGATTTCGTGAAAATCTTTTGGTAAAGTTATAGGAAAATGTAACAGCTACTGACGAGTTTTCCAATATGTCGCGTGTATCGTTGTTCATTCCACAACAAATATCAACTATATTTTTCACAAGATTAAAACGCATATTGCTAAACAAGAAATCAGTTTTTCTTAATTTACAATAATTATAAAGTATATTTTTATATTCAAGTCACACTTTTTGCGGACATATGTTTATATACACTTCGGAAATGTCTATGTTTTTGTACATTTTTTGTACATCTTTATGTGAAAATTGTAATACATTAATATTTTGTATGTAAACTTTTGTTTTTAATGACTGCGACACATCTTCGTGGCATAGATTAATAAGCTAGCTAGTATCGAATTCCATGCTTTTTGTACACAAGTGTAGTTGTTCAATATTTTTCAGCTTTTGTTCTTTTATATGTCTATCTACATCAATTCACAACATTTCTATAGGATTTAAGTCCGGGGACTGTCCTGGCTACTTCATTACGCGGATATTATTGTCATTCAAAAATGTCTTGACAACTTTTGTGAAGTGCTTTGGATCATTATCTTGTTGTTAGATCTATTTTTCTGGCATATATTCTTCAGCAAATGGAATTAATATATCTTGCACAATATTTAAGTACACGTATCTTTCCAGTATTTCTTTTAATTTCTATTAATTGGATCTACTGTTATAGAGCCTTATACGAGGACTGATCCATCTCCACCTTTTACTGTCGGTTTTATACAGTTGTAACAAAATTCTTCGCTTTTGTGACGTTTCATGTACACTTTACCATCTGATCCAAATCGACTGCATTTTGATTCGTCAGTAAAAATGACTATGTCCCATTGCTGAGGTGTCCAGTTTAAATGTTGCTCGCGAAAGCAATCCCGGCGATTTTTTTTCAAAATGAGCGGTTTCTTTCTGGCTACGTTTCTATGTAGTAATTGAAACTCATTCAATCTTCGTTGCATAATTCTAACAGTAACTTGTCTTTCGAGATCTGTCGATATTTTCTTGTGGATGTCAACAACAGTTCTGAATCTATCAGCTTCCAATGACGATGAATCCTACGATCACACCTTTCATCAGTTTTTCGAACTTTCGCTTTACGGAGAATGTTATTTGGAGTTCATGATGTTTAATCTGTTACATAGCTTGATGGCAAGCCATGGCGGATATTTTTAATTTCGCAGCAATCTGTCAATATGATAATCCGTCTTTTCAAAGCTGCTGCACAAGTTGCCGCTGCTCTGACGTGATGTTTTTTTCCCTTACTCATCACAGCACTTTAGCAATAACTAACAATATTGCATGGCAGATATTGGCGAGAATTGTTTACATTTCGAATGGATGACCGCATTAAACAACTTCTCACAATTAGAAACAATTAAACAAACTCCTCTCCTTCCCATATTATAAACATTATTAGATAACATCCTGTACCAAAAAGTTAGGTGCAAAGCAAGTAGAGTGAAAGTACCGCTATGAGTCAAAAGTGACCCGATATTGGCTTGTCGCATCGCTCATTTCGGTCGGTTATTCGAGGGTTAATTAAATCTCTAACCGATATTTGATTTATTTTCCAAATTTGAATTATTTTCTAGCAGTTTGTCAAGCAAATTTAATTTATCAAATATATCGAATAAATAAAATATAATCTTTGCTATTTTCTTCAGTCGCACTCTTTCCAAATTTTTTAAGGTAACCCAAAAGTACAAATCTTCGCAGATAGTTTCTCTTTGACAGCCAGAGAGATTGTCGTATGCAAGACGTTCATGTTCTTTATCATTTTCTTCATGAAGTTGACGAAAGAGTAAACTTTGCGAAGGATTTGATTTAATATAATTCACAGCTTTTATAACTGTAGAAAGTGCTTCATGCAGTCGGCCTTCTAAATCTTTTGCCACTAAATACTGCCGGTGAATAACGCAATGGAAAACAAAACGATTCTTTAAATACAGCAGGAGTTCCTTGTGTATTTCTGTCATCAGAGCTGCCTCGTCCGTAGCACAAGATATAATATTTCCTAATGGGATGATCTTGTCATCAAAATATTTCTGTATCAAAATATGTCATATCAAAAATTGATTTGTCGGTCGTATCTCTTATTAATTTTCTAGTAAAAAGTATTTCTTCTACTTGGTCATCCCTTACAAATCTCACGTATGTAAGAAGAATTGCTTCGTTATTTATCAAAATATGAGTACTCACTCAAGTATCTCTCAAACAAAAACGCATTCAATCTCTCATGTCAACAAATAGTACACAAATACACTCAGATCGAAACAAGCATACTTTTTAGTAAATCGAACATCCTTTATATATATTCATACGTTACACATTGCGGCAGTTATCCATCTTCTCCAGATACTCTGTTTTATATTGTACTCTTATATATAAAATTATATTATATACAAGGTGAATATATCAATATATCAATATACCTTATATCCTGTTGCTTTGTCATGGAATGATTGGGAAAAGAAATTGTAGACGAACCTACCCCACTTTAGTTAACTATTTTACCTTGAACAAGATCTTGCACAAATTTCTATTTTTTTATTTACTTCTCTACTATTTTCTGAGTAGTTTTGTACCACAAAAGTATATATCATCCTTATGTATTAAACAAGCACTAACGAGAAAATTCCTAATAATTTTTCTCTGTTATATCGTAAAAATAGTATAAATATCTTTTTGGAAACTAATGTATAAAAAGTGAATGTCAGTAAATTTTTCTGTTGTCAGGACGAATATTTTGAAATTTGTAATAAAACTGTTAGGAAAAAAATATAAGCGAAAAGTGTGGTCCACAACCGCTTCTACAATTGGAATGTTTTTATCATAGCTTAGTGTACTTTATTGTATAATAATACTGTTTTGTGGAATATGTGAAATGAGCTGATAAACTTAGGTGAGGAGTACCAAAGAGCCATCACAATTATATCCCCAGTGTCCTCCAATTGCGGGAGATTGGGCCTTAAACACTCTCGTCAAGTTGGAAGGAAATTTTTGACGTGGTTTCTACAGAGTTTCCCCCGTTTTGAAATAAGAATGTAATTTTCGTTAGAGCCCGCGCTTTGGAATACATCGGCCGGGATACTCTCCGAATGCACTCCAAAATGCTTCGCGAGCAAATCTGACGTAGCATTTCAAAATTGCAACTCTGACATTCTGTGCCAAAGCATTAGCAAGTGTTTCGACATCTTCACCTCCTTCCTGCGGATAATAACCGCATATATAATATAAAATACAATATAATATATAATATAATAACCGCATATATAATATATAATATAAAAAGATCGAAATTGTAACAAACGGATAGAGAATTCGCACTGCAGTGCAGTGAGTGCAGTACGTCTCGTGCCGAGCCTTCCAGTGTTGGTCTGACCCTGGAAGCTTCTATCAAGCGTTTCTAATTTTTGTATTCTACAATTGTAAACAATTTAATTACAAAGAACTTCATTAACGGTGTCACTTCGCAAATACGAGCCGAATTACGCGCGATCAAAGCTAAAATTCGCTATTGTAAATCGAGCAATGAAGTACGCCGCATTGAGCTTGGCAAAAACAAGCCACGCGAAACGATCACTGAAGAACACTTGAATCACCGCTATCTAATCGAGAATGCGTGTCTGCCACTTTCTCCTCCACGCACAATGTAGATATCGCGTTACGAAACTTCACGTAATTAACGGCTGCAACTCGAGCCACGTTAAGACAGCTTTTCGTGTCGTGCGCCATCATCACAGAAATATTGCCAATATTGCCGAAATGTAGGCCATCCATGAATATAGGAAATGCGAATTTAATAACGTCATGCGTTCGAAAACGTTCCGCGACGAGAGGAAACGCCTTCGGGAAATGCGTCGTGGCAGAAACCGGAAAAAAGGATACCGAATCAGAAGTCTAAGGAGGGACAAAACTATCCCGCGCGTTAGCCTAACCGCGTCCCAACTTAAAAGTGAATTCACCGGACGATCGACACTAGCGCGAGTCCGAACTTGATTCCGAAACATGATACCACGAAAGTCGATTTCTTCAACCGCGTATAGCAGATGAATCGGTATCCACACCGGAACGACATAGATCGAAATCTGTAATCGATCTGTCGATTTCCAATTCGTTTCCGACTCGGTTTCGATCGATACTGGGGACTCCTCGGATCCTCATCCTGCATTTCGGAAGCTATCTTCTATCCCAGATTCGGAGTTACATACGGGGATGTAACCTTCATCGATAGCAAAGTCTTCATTCCCGTGCGTTACTCTGAAAACCACCGGGTCTTTCACTGCGTTCATCCGTTGACAAGAGATAACTTCCGGCGTGACGATTCACGATTCTTTGATCCGTTGCAAGGACAACTCCTTTACTGTGTGTAAAGAAATCTGACGATGAACGCGTCTTCTTTCCACCTCTCGTCAAGTTGGAAGACGTCGAAGAAAACGTGCTCGTCAGACTCGAAACAATCACCTACCTGAATCGCGAGTTTTTTCAATATCAAAGACTAAGGTAGTCGACAAATGAATCGAGGAAATCCTTCACATAATTTCTGAGATTATCTAAACAAAGAAGAGCTGGCCTACGTTGACGATATCATATCGACTCACTACGACTTCTTCCACCTGCCTGGGGACAAGTTATGGAAAAGAAATGTAACGCATAAAATCCCCACGGTAGATGACACTGGTCCATACAGAGCAATATTGTTACCCGCTTATCTACAAGACCGAGATAGATAAACAGATGAAAGAGTTCCTTCAGAATGGCATAATTCAATCCTCAAAATCTCCATCAATTCGCTCTTGTGGATAGTGTCCAAAAAATCCGACGAACACAGTAACAAGCGTTGGCGTATGGTTGACTATTGTGAGTTAGAAATCTGTAGCGAACGCGTACCCATTCCCTAGTATCCTAGAGATACTAGACCAGTTGGTCAAATATTTCAGCGTTTTCGATCTGGTTAGCCGATTCTTTCGGATAGGGACGGAAAAGCGGATGCAGAAAAGACCGCTTTTTCCACTCCATACGGGTATTACGAATACGAACGAATGTCTTTCGGTTTAAAAAACACATTGACAATGTTCCAGAGACTGATGGATTCAACTGGTTTGCAGCGAACAGAGCTTTTTTTTTATTACGTGAGATCTGTTGTCGGATCAAGTTTGACAAAGTTGCGTAGCGCTTGCGAGACGCTAACCTAAAGCTTAGATCGAAATGCGGATTCGTACATCGCTAAGTGAACACATAGTGAAGTAGATGTAAAACCTTGTCTTGGAGAAATTACCGCTGTTCACGAGTTCCAGTGTCTAAAACGGCAAGATGAATTGGTGCGTCATTCACCTTTCTTCTTGTTATATCTTTTTGTTAAAAACCACATCCAAGAAGAGCGTCGGAATTCAAACATGCATTTAGCCCTCGCAGTTTTAGCTATAACAATCACGATCTCGGTCTTGGTTAGCTATGATTGCAGCCAACTATGGGTTTACCATAAACACAGCGATATCTTTCATGACAGACCTAACTTGGACATATGGAGCCATCAAGGATTACAATTGCAGCTCCTCCAACTGGCGGACTATAGTGCCGGACTGAGATTGACCATTTACCACTGCGATATGCACTCACTCGTCTCGGTCCATAATGGTCGTCAGTAATACGTTCATACTACAACGCTGGAAGTATTTCAACTGCTTTACTCCTCCGGATCAGCTTTCGTTACATCTGCGATCCAGATTAGCGGAGTTCTCCTAAACTCAACAATAACACAGAGCATCACTTTAGTGGGCAAAATCGGGCCCAACGGCAGATGTGACGGCACAACGTACTTCGACCCCTATAGCGCGTGGACAAACGCAATTGTGCGGATAATAACGGATAACAGTTTGTTTAAAATGTAGGGAAAAACAGAAGAATTGAGACAGACGAATAGATGTTAAAAATGAGTGTATTTCCTGACCACGTTCTGCACAATATGGCTGCTCACGATGGTGAACGTCGTCTGATACCACTTGATCGAGCACCACGTCGTCGTGAAGGCCGGGACGTCTGATGAACGTCGTCCTCTGCCGCTTTCCTCGGTGCGACGGCTGGACATGTCCTCGTGCAGCCAACTGCCGATGTCCTCGATGAGAAGGCAGCTCACACAGCTCACGCAGCTTACAGTCGTTGTCCTCGATCAGAAGGCAGCTCACACAGCTCACGCAGTTTATAGTCGATGTCGCTGAGAGGAAATGTGATTGTGTTAGGCACGCTTGCTTTATGATTTCACGAGAGAAGTCCCGTGGGTTGTGCTAGGCACGCTTGCTTCACGAGGGATTCGTTTCGGTTGACTAAGTCCTTCATAAACCAGGAAGTTTAAAATCTGCTCAACTGGAAAGTTCAAGACCAAGGAACCAACGTCAATAACTTGGACATATTTACTTATGTCAGCTCCAAGTTCGTATATCTAGAGAAGTACCTGAAGACTCAGATTGTGCAGTTGTACAGGGTCGTACGCCAAAAATGCAACATCGTGAATCGGGTCATACGAAACGCCCTCACTCTAATACATGTCGCCCTGGAAGACGTTGCGATCAATATCACGGGAGAATTTGGACATCTGGTCATAGCCTCAGGGGAAGTGGTACACATTGTCAAATACATACCAATCATGTGCCACACAAAAGAGTCCACGGAGTGCTATAATAAACTCCCCATGCTCTACAAGAATGAATCCTGCTTTCTAATCCCGAAAAATATTCGAGACCAGGAGAGAATGCAGTTCTATCCTGTCCGCAATGTTTAGAATTCATGGCACTTGGTACCGATTCGCATCAAAGGATCGACAGCGTCCCTCCGCTGCCACTGCAGCTCATTTCTAAACCACAATGGTATTATATCGACCTTCAAAATTTGCAAACGGTGAAATATATTCCGCCGAAGACTTAGAAAAATTGAAAGATCACATTATCCTAGCCGAGCCTCAATTAAGTAAACAGCCTCGCTCAGAGAGCATCAGGAAGACCATGTTCAACCGATGCTATACAACTCCTGGACGAAGAAGGATCTGGGAAAAATTGTTGAAGTTGAAGTCAGTTACTGTTGAACTCGTGGGTTTACATGGCTTGACGCATTTTTAAAACCATAATCAACACCATCTTCAACGGAATTACTTTATATTCCATCTCTCCAGTCTGGAGCTCTCTGATCTATGCATCTTTCTACACGGTGCGAGCCTGAACTTAGCAACGACGGATCCGAGAAAGTCAGTGAAGTACGTTCCCTACGAAACACCGTGAATGACGTATCCACTATGCCATCCCGCAAAGAACACCCAGTGATTCCAAGCGAGAAGAAAATTCTCATAGACTCCAAAAGACCACGATGAAAAATTGTATCCACGGGAAGAAAGGTGTAACGTCGACCCTCCAACATCTGCTTAGGCTTAGTCATCATGGCGCAATTTCAGAAAAGAATTTGTTAGAGTACGCGTTTTGGAGTACATCGGCCCAGATACTCTCCGTGCACTCCGAAAAGCGCACGCGGTATTTCGAAATTGTAACTCTGGCATTCCACGTCAAAAGCACTAGCAAGCGTTTCGACATCCCGATCTGCATTCTTCAAGTATAAAAGATGGAAATTCTTTTTAACAATTAACGTTATTCGTTTGTCGAGAGTTCAGACTTGACGCCAGTTCAGTGTCGTTTTCGGCGCCGCCCGAACTGGCTTCAGAGTTGAGTTTAGGGTTATCAGGTTCAAAGACCAGTAGAGGCCAGTTCGACCCAGTTTGAACTCAGTATCAAGCGTTTCTATCTTCGAATCCATAAGCGTTTCTATCCCCAAATCCGTAAGCATTTCTATTTCTAAATCCGTAAGCTTACTATTTCTTAATCTTCGATTTTTCGTATTCATAATCTCATTGCAAGTTATCTATTATTAAATATACAGCTACGTTTACTCGCGTGTTCTTATCATTCACCGATAATCGAGCCAGCCAGTCAACTATTATTGTATCGTTGTCCTGCGAGCCGAGAGTCTAAGATCTCATAAAGTTTAAGTAAAAGTACTTTAAAATCCGCACGCAAAGTCGATCATTACAAAATTTAGAAAAAAAATGTCATAAAGATTGTACAATTATTGTACAACTATTGCACAAAAAAAAATAACTACACTCAAATAAAAGCTGATCAGCATATGCGTAAATATCATAATGTAAGAAAGAAAAGGATCATTCGTCTAGAAAGATAACTACACATCAGAAACAAACGAGGAGTATTTGATTTTTTAGCATCTCAAGCATCTCAAAGTATTCGGAACATTAGATTCTAAAGATCTCGATGTAATTAATCAAAAGATCGATAAACTATTCACAGCTATATCATATACTTATACTTATATCATATCATATACATATATTCATAATGACATCATATACTAAGACCACAATCAAGCCGCAATTATTAAACTGTTATTAAACTCTTCAAACTTAATTATGATCGAAAGTAACAAATATTACAATGCCTCGAATCGAGACATTCACCTAACAGCTCAATTAAGCTCAATAGTATTACTTTCGGAAGTACAAACCCATATAGAGTTTACAGTAACGCATTGCTCTTAGGAAGAATAGGAAGAATAGATGACCTTCATTAATAACAGACAATGTTTCCCACTGGGACTATTAATTTGGTATTAGGTTTTTATTTCATAAAACAAAGGTATTCGGTTTTTAATAAGTTTTTATTATTACAATCACTTTACTTTTAGATCTATACGTTACAATGGCTTTTATTGTTCTATATAGTTTCTTTATAATGCGGTCCATACATATACAGTTAAGGACAAAAGTAAGTGGACAGATAATGAAGAAGAATATCAATGAAATTTATTCAATATAGCATTGTAATTACATGTTTAAACTTTATTTAACATTTATCCTTATAATATATAGATTATTTGAATAACAATTAAAAGTAATATTTATAGTCGGTGCAAATCCAAATTAGGTTTAAATAAAAAATCAACCAATTACAGAAAGACAAAAGTAAGTGGACACTACCGATACCTGCTAATTAGTAATTAATATTGCCGCCTTTTGGTGCAATTTTCTATATAATCTTTGTCAATATTGTCAAAAGTTGATTTTAAATGATTAAAAAAGTCCATTTTATTCTTTCGCTTGTCCAAAGGAAGTTTGGAATCCAATACATACTACAAATTCTCAATCGATTTCAAGTCAGGACTTTGTGCTAGCCGTTCAAGTAACTTAATATCTGAATCACTAAAGAATTTCATACTCGTTTTGACAACATGTTTTGGATCATTGTCCTGTTGAAATATAAATTCTTCCACCAAATTCATTTTTACTGTTGCCTCCAAATTTTCGTTGATTGTGCTAATGTACTTATCAGTATTCATAATACCATCAACTGATACTAAGGTTCCAGTCCCATTCCATGAAAAATAACCCCACACCATTAATAAACCATCTCCAAATTTAATCGTTGGTCGTGATAAATGATTTTTTGTATGTTTCATTTTTCTTCCTCATCTATTTGCTTTTTCTTCTTGCTGTCGAAGATTTTCCTGCGCAGCATTACTAGAATATATGGCCTAATCGTTTCAGTTGAAATATCACAATATGTTTTCAAGTTCTTTAACTTTGTAAGACCTGTGTTAATTCTGGGTCTTTTGATTGCTGTTCAGCAAATTCTGATGTGCTAACTACAACTGGCCTACTGATAACATCCAGTGATAAAGCGTCTGCCACTTTATTATCAGATCCCGGAATTTTAGACGAAATTGTCCTGTATAGTCCAGTTGTCGTAGTTGTCTTTTCTGTAAGACTTCTTCTGATTTTTGTAAAAATGCATATGTAAGTGGTTTATGATCCGTATCGTAAAATCTCGTCCTTTAAAAAAAATTTTTTTTTTTATTATTATTATAAGAAATACTATAGACTCGTTTGAGTCTATGAGTAATTCAGATACATTAAGTTAGAGAAAGAAAAGAAAAATAACATGTGTAAAGGAAGCACCTTTGTGCTCCTTTTTACAATAGTTACACAATAGTGTGCTTTTAGTTTATTATTAAATCATGTGTTTTGTTCTTTTTAATCTTCGTGTATTGTTTTCAGTGTTGAGTAGTTTGTTTGCCAGTTGGAGTGTTGTTGTAGTCTGTTATTATGTGTTTTGGCGTACTGTTTAATGTAGTCACGAACATATTTGATATGTAAGCTTTGTGGAGTGTTTCATTGCTGGTGTACTATGGTGCGGCTGCTATGTTTCTAAGTGCTTTGTTTTGAGGTCTCTGTATTATGTCAACATTAGATTTCTTGGCACACTCCCATAGTTGTATACCATAGGTCCAGATGGATATTATAGATACTTTGTATAGTAGCATTTTATTGTTTAGCGTTAATAGTGATTTGTAGCCAAGTAGCTTGTAGTAATTATGATGATAATTTAAATTAATATCACAATAAGAACAAATAGAAATAAGAACAACGTTGTAACTTTAATAACTTTTTATAAACTAATAATAAATGATATTTTTATAACACAAATAAATAACTGTTTCTATGAATGTTGATTATGGAAAGAATAACTAATTATAAAATGGGGTCTATATATACATCTCTGTCAATAAGTAAACATGGTAATAACATATCCATAGTAATAAAAATAAAATATCAATTTACAAATATTCTAATGTTAGATGTCGGTTTACAGTTGGCGATGTCGATTTACAAGAAACGTACTTTTCGGCGGAACGATTGTGTGATGTTGATGTTAATTTTGAAGAGGTAACAGTCGCTATAAGTTCTCCTTTTGATGTCCGTGTTGACATCCATGACCTCTAATGGTTCGCCCTCGTGGGTGCCAATGTGGCAGAGGGGTGTTTAACCTAACTTTTTGATTTTGTCTTCTTTTAACCTTATTTATTATTTTTATTATTTTTTTTTAGATTACTAGTTGCTTTTTTTTACTTTCCACTTGTGAATAAGAATTTGAAAAACTCATGGGCCGTGAAACGCTTTTACCACCTGCTTACCTGCACGCTTCTCTCACAATTCACAAATCCTCTATTCATACGTTTCCTTCTTCACGCATTTTT